ATCAATGGCGTGAATAAAACGTCTGTGTTTCGATTTTTGATTTACCGGTAATCTATTCTTATAAATCGCTATAAAAGCCATTTAAAGACTTAACATGTCATGACCCCTTCAGGTCTCCTAAACAGCTGTTTTTGTTTCAATTCATGACCTACGTGTTTCACACTAAAACGCGTTCATTTCGTTTAATGGTAGGTTTATTCTACCTATGCTATAGCAGGTGAGAGAGAATGGTAATGTTTTTTTCAAATGCTTAGCAGTTAGCACCTCACAGTTAATTCCTGTTTTCTTTTCTCTCCACATCAGTTGGAGGTGTTGAAGACATGCGGATGTATTGGGCAGATTACCTGAAGAGAACACACATACTGGTGTATGTGGTAGACCTATCCGACAGAGAGCGCCTTCCTCAGGCCAAAGATGAGCTACATCGACTGCTGAGCGCTGACTCTGAGCTTCCAGTGCTGGTTCTGGGAAACAAACAGGTTGCTTTTCTTTTTTAAAAACATATTACTTCAGTTTGGCCATCGCAGGATATTGGAGATGTTGTTTTCTTCTCATCCAGGACAAGGCTGAGGCTGTGAGCATCTCTGAGCTACAAGAGGCTCTAAGTGTGAGCTCATTTCCAAACCAGGTGAATCTCTTCCTGCTGTCGGCTCATTCGGAGTCCGATGCATCCGGGAGAAATGCCGTCCTCCAGAAGATCAAGGAGGTGCTTCTCTCGCTGCTGTAAATCTGGTGAGGTTGGAATCGCTGCCAACTGTCAAAAGCACGAAGGGGGTGAAATGTGCAGAAAAAAGAACATTTCACAACAAATGTAAACAAATGCTATTTGCTCTTACTTCCCAATGACTGGTTGTGTTCAGTAACAGACGTAATCTATTGAGTAGCATGCGCTTGTTACATGTAATGCAATATTTTCAGTAACAATTTCATGCTGATTCTAAAAGAAAGGAAAATCACTGGTAACCGAAAAAAGTTGGTTTCTTTCCCATACACACTCAATTTTATTTTGAATCAAGTGCCATTTTCATTATGCTCTGATTCAAGCCTTCAAAAGTGTAGCCTTTACCAGTTTAGAGAATTCCACATGTGTACAACACTAAAGTATGGAACTGTGTTAAAAAAAAAGAACGGTTTATAAAAATGTGTTCAACAGTCTGAGAAAATAACATCACCAGAATTTTTGGAAAACATCTGCCGGTAAAGAGCAGAGGTCGGTCGTAGTTTATTACTTTTATTTATGTACTTTAAATGAAATGGTTGGGTAACTAGTAAATGTAAAAATGCATGTTTACACTTTTAATACAAACTAAACGATTATAAAGATTGAAATAAAGATTTTTGATCTGCGTTCAATTATCTTGCACGCATAGGGACAACATCCACACTCTTCTTAGGAAGCCCACCGAACGGGCAACCACTTACTGAGAAGCAGTTGTTTTTTAATATTTGAAAAGAGACTGTTAAAAATATCATGTTTACTCATGGGAAATGATAACAAGAGTGCCATTAAGTTTCAGGTTTGATCTTTTAATCAACTGACCCGCTAAGGGAGTAGATCCAATATTGTTTACACTTTTGGTTAAGTAATATTGAAATGACTTTTTAAGGGGATACTCTGCATAGAGAAACCCCATACACCGACTTTGAATGGAAAAAAGGAAAAAAGTAGATTTGGAACTGTTGTAACACGTTGACATGGATACATGTTGATATGGAAACAAGTTTGACTGTAGACTTGGAAAGGGGAGATTTTAAATCATGGTAACAAGGAGACTTGGAAATAAGGAAACAAGTAGAACTGTAGTCTTGGAAATGAGGAGACATGGAAACAAGATTTTAAATTATGGTAATAAGGAGATTTGGAACTGTTGCTCCAAGTTGACATGGAAACAAGTAGACCCGTAGATTTGGAATGTTGGAAAGGTAGAGGCATGGAAACTAAGAGATTTGGAACCGTTGTGACAAGCTGACATGTAAACAGGTTCACCTGTAGACTTGAAACCTTGGAAATGAGATTTAAATCATGGTAACAAGTAGACCTGTTGACTTGGAACAATGGAAAGGTAGAGGCGTGGAAACAAGGTGACTTGGAAGCTTGGAAATGAGACATTGAAACAAGTAGACATGGTAACAAGGAGACTTGGAACTATGGGAACAATTAGACTTGGACTGTTGAAAAGGTAGAGGCATGGAAACGAGGTGACTTGGAAGCTTGGAAATAAGAAGAAATGGAAACAAGTAGACTTGGAACTATGGAAACAAGTAGACCTGTTGACTTGGAACGTTGGAAAGGTAGAGGCATGGGAACAAGGCGACTTGGAACTATGGAAACAAGTAGACCTGTTGACTTGGAACGTTGGAAAGGTAGAGGCATGGGAACAAGGTGACTTGGAAGCTTGGAAATGAGGAGACATTGAAACAAGTAGAAATGGTAACAAGGAGACTTGGAACTATGGGAACAATTAGACCTGTTAACTTGGAAATGAAGAGACATTGAAACAAGGAGATTTTATAGTATGGTAATAAGGAGACAATGGAAACAAGTAGACCAGTAGACTTGGAACCCGTTGAATGAGGAGAAAACCTGAATAGTATCAAGGATACTATTTCAACTATTACTATTTGCTTGTTTCTGAGATTACGATTTAAGATTATGACCATTGGTCAGAGTGAGAGCCCAGATCGACATGTAAATGGAGAGCTTTGCATAGCTTCACAATAAAAGGCCAGTACATTGACCAGATTACAGTGGCTGATGCACAGATCATTTCCTCACTTGAGGAATTTCCACATCCTGGGGAATTTAAAGCCCTTCATTTGAGGCATGAATTCTCCTCTGACCTGCAGGGAGTAAGTCAAACATTATGGGCTGAGAACCAAGATCCGATAATCTGATGCATTTTGTGAGATTAACCAAAAATTAATAAGTATACTCTATGATAATTAATCATATGGCTATTGTTTCACTTTAATTGTTTGGGGATTGAAAATGTACCATGACTAAAGTGTAAGTACATCAATATTTACTTCAAATATATCTAACCTCTTTGGAATTCAAGGTGAAATAAGGACCGTTATGGTTAAGGACTGTGGTTAAGTTATGGTTAACCTTAAAATCCTATGGTTCATTCATTGTTTTATTTTATTTGCTGTTTAGGGGATTGAAAATGTACCATGACTGAAGCGTAAGAACATTCAATATTTACTTTAAACACATCTAATCTTTTTGGATTTGAAGGTGAAACAAGGACAGTTCATGAGATTAACCACATTAATCTCTTGAGTGCTTTATATTCCCTGCTTTTCTTGATGTTGGACACATCATGTCCGTCTGTTTCATAATAGCTCTCTATTCCTCAAAAGGAGACTTTATTTAGAAGTTAAAAGAAGAAAATTAAGACACTTCAGTGTGAAATCAATGTGCTGGGGTTATGTAACATGAGAAAGTGGCACAAAGGCAGAGCTATGTGATGATATTCTTCCCAGATGACATTAAAACTCTTAAAAATGTTACTAATGCTCTTATTAATAGAAAACAACTTTTGACTCTGACACTCATGCTGAAGCTTTATAGATGCCAGTGTTAATGAAAAATGGCAGATTTATGAAGCTGTCTATTCTTTATAGGAAGATTTACTAAATACAAGATTCTAAGGATTTCTTAACTTAGACTTAAACACATCTTCAATGTTTATTTACCACATTTTAGGCTTGTTTCAAAACCAAAATATAATGCCTTGATCAACTAAGTCTGGCCCTCACGTGACGCCCACCTTCACGTGACGCCATCGGCATGCCTTAATTTTATTCCTTTTGGAAGGATGCATAAAAACCTATATATTGAGCAATTGTAGTGGGTGCCAATTGTCTTGCTTGAACAATGGGTCCTTCAAAAGCCTTTCTTCTCTAAATGAAAAAAGGTAATGCTACACCTTTTTAACAATTCATATTTGTACATACTAGTTTATGCCCTAGAAATCGCAAACATGTACGGTAAATAAATTTTAAGACAACGTGAAATGTGAATCACTAACTTTATGTTGGCTTTTGAATGATCAGCTCAAAAACAAAAATTCAGATTTCAATATTTTTAAGCAATTCACAGAATAAAATTACAAATGCAAACTGACCATGACATAAAAAGTCATTTACCCATTAATTTAGACTAAAAGTTCTTGCCAAATTAGAGTAGCGCAGACTCCAACACGACGAGGTGACATTCAAATGAAATCCCCACTTCATCATTAGGAAGATTTCGGAGACTGCAGGGAGGCAATGAATGCGTCGTACTCTTCGGGATGACAGCGTTTGTAGAATTCCACTTTCTTCTTGATCTGCTTCGGTGTGTCCTGGTAGAAATTCTTCTCATCTCTTGCCATTGCCTGAGATTTCAAAACAATAAGACAAGTAAAATGAAGTTGAAATGGGCTCAAACAAGCAGAACAAATAGAACAACGTGTTTAATTTATGGAAATAAAAGCAGTGGCTGTTGAAGTTTGTGGGGTTCTTTACTAGGGTTTCAAAAAAACAACAACAACATTTTTTGTGGGCGTGGCCTTTAATATTAGAACTTGAATGTGATAGGACAGTGGAAAACGACAGAAAAATTAGGAAAGGGGCGGCACAAACATCATCTAACTCTGGATCAAAGTCTTGTGTCACCCTACAGAGTTGCACACATTATCATGCGTATGCGTCCTGCGCGCTAGCAACAAGGCCATGCCGCGGGACTCAAAATGTTTTTTTATGACAACAAAGTAAATAGGGCTGAAAAACTTATTTGAATCTATTGACAAAAATCGTTGTTGAGTTCAGGCAACGATTTTTGTCAATCTTACAATCAATTAGACGGTGAAGACAATCGGCACACAAACTAATGAACCATCAACAAGTGTGAAAAATAGTCTCAGGCCGAGGACATCAAAAGCTTGGGAGTATTTCACATTGAATAATATACAAACGAAGTGACGTGTAAGATTTAAAAAAAAATTGACAGTTCATGTTTTTCATGGGATTTGAACACACAACCTTTCAGTTGTTGGCGCAATACTCTACCAACAGAGCCACAGGAAAGCTGGTGTTAAACAGCTAGCTAAATAATAATAATACAGCATATAATTATGCCTAAATTACACTTATTTTAAAGAGACAATGAGACAAAAAAGAGAGATGCATCGAGAGGAAAAGCGGAAGTAAATTATAGTTAAAAAAAATTGGCAAGTTTGTTTGAATTGAAAATTTGGCTATTTGGGGACTAGTATTCGTTTCGAAAGTTATATAGTAAAATGGAACAATGACATTCCTTTGTCATTTAACTATTTTGGGAAACCAATGAGTTCCAATTTTAATATTTTTGCATACTATGAATGTTTAGTTTTTTCAGCTTTTGTTATATTGCTCTTCTATTTCAATGCCGTCCTAACATGTTTCGACTACTTCTTACCGGGCTCACAGTAATTACTCTGACCTCCTCCTTCGCACCAATCTGAATATCTACTTCGTTGTGTAACTACTCTGTTGCACACTCCCTTGTGACTGCTTTGAGATCTCGAGGGCCCTGCATCTGCTGCTAAGCTTGCACTGGTGGCAATTTGTGAGATTTTTACATTTTTCAGCACCCTCTTGTAGGCTTTTTTTTTTCACAAAAGCTCATTTGTCTATTAGTGACGAATGGTTTCAACGTTACTCTGCATCTGAACAGTTTCCAACAACAGACTGACAGTTTGTCAAGGAGATGACCCTGGAGGTAGAGTCTGGAGATTTCATTTGTGTCAATCAACCAATGGGCCATTTCTTACTTTCCCAGCATCGTGGCCGAATAGAAATCAGACTCTTTAATAAATAATTACAGGCCGGGGTCACTGGTACACAAATGCTCGTTGACCCTACAGGTGACGCCCGATGGGCAGTCCATGCCAGATTATGGGCTATAAAGGCTCATACTTTGATTTCAAAGCTTGATTTCACCTTGTAATTATCCTTGTGCTCTTTAACCATATGATGGACATACTCGATCAAGTCTGTGGAGCAAGTGGTCTTGTCCTCCCTTGGGACGCTGGCTTCGGCTTCCATTTCTAAATATTCAAAGGAATTCAATGTTAAGAATACACATCTCTCAGAAATATGTTAGAGACACATTTCACATACCTTCCACAACATACGCCTTTATTGCGTTAATCTCCATTGGTTCACTTCGTGGGCCCTAAAAAAAGAACAATGGAATACAAATGAAGGTCCCAATTGGATCAGAATCTTAGAGTTGCATCTAAACAGCATAATTTACTTTGACACTTACATTGTTTGATTTAATAGGAAGCATGCCCTTGGTCCCCGGCGCCAGCCCCATGTCTAGAAGATTCTGCTTCACTGTTTTGTGATCATCCCATGCTTTACGTATCTGTGGGCTTCAAAGCAGACAGTGGAGTATAATGTTGTACAAAGATTGAAGTCATATATGTTCTACTATTTCTACATTTAAATCACGTGTTTACATTGATCTGTCATCACAAAAACGTAATGTTTATAATTTGCTTTTGACTTACCATTCAATTTGCGGTTTCTCCTTCCTTTTAAATCTCTTTTTAAGTTTCTTTTTGTTTTGATTGTAGTCAAACGTATTGCGATTACGGCCTTTTCTGAGCTTACCCATTGCTGATAAAAACCAAACAAGAACGCAGCACGCGTGTTTGTGAAATAAAGCGGAAGTGACGAATTTTACTTCCTGTTCTTCTCTGAAACCAAACGCACCGACAGAAAACAACATCGCCGTCTAAAGGAAAACAGAGGGAATACAGCGGTAATATCCACTCAGATTTGTAAAAATTGTAAATGGACTTAAAACTTGAGAAATTCCTAGTTTGAATGAACAAAGTATGTAGACCTGTGATGGCCTTTCCAAAGCGCACCTTAATGTCCATAATGCTCAAAGATCATTGGCACAGTTCAAACTGCATAGTATTTATTTTACATGGCATTCATATTACTGTCATATCACAACGAGAAAAAAAACTTTATTTTCACCACTAGATGGAGACATCGTATATTTTTCTTGGTCCGTGTTGATTTTTTTATTTTGAAAAAAAAATAAATTCTAATACCTGTTATTTATTTGTTTTATTTATTCTAATATTTGTATTATTAAATATAAATTAAAAACTATGTTTGAAAATAATAAGTTCTCAAAATAATATGAATCATTAAAATTAACCAATAACTTAATTAACATCCGGAGCTGCATTGCTTAATTCTTTCAGACACGTACCCTGATTATAAACACCTTGTGTTGGGGTTAATATTCTCATAAAACGAAAAGCAAATGCAAATGTTTAAATCAGATCAATGTCTTTAGTAGGTAAAGAAAACTATTGAAACTAACGAAATCTACTATGCCAAAGGCATAGGCAAAGGTACTCGCGACGCTTAATATCTACAGAAATAGTAAAAACAAGCAAAAGACTGATTTCTAAAATAGCTTACTATTATGATTTTATTATTCATCTCAAGATCTGGTATGTATATATTATAGGTTAATTAATCATTCGTGAAACATGGCCCTATACTACTGTCAGTTGATACTACTGAAATTGACTCTTTTTTTAATTAAAAACTATGTATGTCCATGTAATTTAAAACTTGAATAGCATTGTTAACATTTACTGCTTTTTTATAAACATGCAGGGGGCATGAGTTCTGCCCCACCACTCCATGACCTATCCTTGATTTTGATTTTATAATATGCAAAATAAATACTACTAATTTAAAACACATGTATTAAGGCAAGATAATTATCAGAGCATTATCAGAGAATTATCAATCGGCAGAGTTGACTTGGGTGCTATTCTGTGGACAGATTAACAAACTCAACAACCATTAAAACAGTTGTTAGGTGTAGTATGAACATATGGTTTGAATCACATTCTAACCAGTGTTCCATCATGGGATTGAGAAATGTTTGAGTGGAAGAAGTCGAGCGTCCAAGTATTCCTCGCTCACTGCTGTTCAGTTTGAAGTAAAGTGTGCATTCCAGAACTTTAGAATAACTACAATCAGAAACCGTACCGTAAGATATGAAATCCAGAATCCATGGGAAAAGGTTGATGGGAAGAGTGCCTGGGCAACTTCAGCAGAATACTATGGACCAGAGAAGAATTGTAATTATATCCATGGTGTGCCATACTCGTCTACATTTATCGCCAGACAGCGTATTGTTGGTACGACATCCTGCTACCGTATAAACATAATTCTTCTCTGGTGTATAATTTCTGACTAAAGTTCCACAGACGCTTTCCTATCAACCTTTTTCTATGGGTTCTTATGTCACCATTTGTCAATAGTAGCAGAATCATGCCTTGTTGACTATTAAGATTAAGTCTGTGGCCCTCTTGTAGGAAGGTTGCTGGTTTGAGGCCAGCCAGTGGTATTCCTGATAGGAGTTTCCATGTTCTCGCCGTGTTTCTTCCAGGTGCAGCAGACCACATCACGAAACCCAGACTGCTTTGAAATCTTTATCTGGGAAAGACCTTGTTGGTGCAGTATGACAACCCTGTGTCTTGTTGCTGTGCTAAATCTTGCCATGACAAGAATAATCTTTCTCAACTCAGACCGTAAGTCAAATTGAAAACCTTCCAAAAGTACTTCAAACTGACCTCACATGTGGAGGTTGTTAGTATGTGCAAGAACATGCCAAGCTCTATCCAAAAGTATTTGAAATTCAGATTCTATAAGGGGTTAAATATTTGATTTACATTAATGGCCTTAGAAAATATGACAATGAAAATATCTTCAAGATGAAATATCATTGAGAAATTAGGGTTTGTTTAAGTTAATTATTGTTAAAAAAAATCTAACATCACTGACAGCTCCCCAGCAACCAAACTGGTACCCTAGTAACCAAATCTCACCTTTGGCAAATAATAAAGACGTAATGTTTAGTTTTTTTAAACTACAGTGACAAAATAAAAATTATAGTATGTCACCATAGCAACCAGATTGTTTACCATAGCAATCATAGACACATGTTGATTTAGATATTAGCATGGGGAACTAACTTCTCTGGGCGGCACGGTGGCAGTGAGTAGCACTGTGGCCTTCCAGTTAGAAGATTGTCGGTTCGGGCTCACCGGTGACTTACCTGTTTGTGTGGGTTTCCTCCAGGTATTCCGGTTTTCCCCACAATCCCGAAAATAATCCCGGTTAGATAAGGTTAATTGAATAAATTCAAAATACTACATCTAAATTCCCCTTAGGTGTGAATGTGTGTTGCCCTGCAATGGACTTGCGAGCTGTCCAGGGTGTACCCCGCCTCTCGCCCAATGTACGCTGGAGATAGACCCCCGAGACCCTGAAAGGGAATAAACAGGTTGGAAAATTAATGAATTAATGAACTAACTCAGGGGTGTCAAACTCAGTTCCTGGAGGGCCACAGCCCTACAGAGTTTAGCTCCAACCTCAACTAAACACCTCATTAGGTCCTTTAGGCTGTTTGTGAGCTTCAGGTCTGGGTCTCTCTGAGCAGGACTGCAGCCCTCCAGGAACTGAGTTTGAACCAAAAATTCTACCTATTGCGTTTTTTAAACTGCACTTTTCCAAGCCAACTTCAAAATTTGTGTACAAAGCCATTTAATTATTTGTTGTTCATTTGTTTACAAGTTAAACAATAAAATAACATCTTTTATAATTACAGTTGTTTTCTTATGCTTCTTTTATTTAAAGATGACAGACAAATTACTATATTGAACTGTGCTTTAATCTTCAACGCACGTGTGTTACACAGCAGGACACAAAACTTCAATTCCCCCGAAAGCTACCCTTTAACAGGTCCGTAAGAAACAACTATTAAAACAATAGTTCCTATTGTTACAACAGTGATAGTTACATTTACATGTAAAATTAATAAGGAATTAAAACACAATATATTTAATAGAATGTTAATTATTTGGAACCATTGTAAATATTAATGAGCTGGGAAGACCTTTTCAAACGCTTTCAAGTGGGACGCCGGGGGCTGGTTACCAAGCAACTCATCATGTCTCATTAATATTCATGAGCCACGCTTTTCCATAGTAGTCTTTTCAGT